TTTAAATTAATTAACACGTATGTAATATGATAGTCTTTGTAATCTATCTAAAAAATTTAAAACAAAAATATCTCTTACGCCAACAAATTACATATTACTTGCTCTTTAGGATAAGTTGTTGGCGTTTTTTTAGGCAAAGTTTAACGCAGAATTCGATTCTGGAAAGAAATTGCAGATAGCATGATTATTTAGGTTTAAAAAGTACATTTTTTTAAAATGGCGGGCAAAAAAAATGACTTCAAGTACTGAAGCCACAACCATGGCTTCCAATACCTTTTTTTTATAGGATTTCAAGGTTGCTGATTTCAATTCTGCATTCGTTTTATGCATACAAAGTATCAAGTCCGATATCGAAATAATCTGGACTTTTTACTGTTAAAAAACGATGAGCGCCTATACAATATTCGAACGACAATTTGTAACCCGACTCACAAATGAACTGAATGAACTAAGAGTTTTGCAAGCTGAATGAGAATCATAAACGCGAACCACTTTAACAACTAAAATCATCAATCACATGAACAAACTTTTACATGTCATCATTCTTCAGAGGACTGAACTGAATCAATGTTGTTCAAGAGTTTTTTTTTTGGTTTTATTGCATTATAAATGAAACACCTTAGTTCGTCAATTGTAAAATTCACCATTTTGAATTTTCCAGAATCAAGCTTTATTTATTGCCTGCTTTCTGACTTGTCCTACATTGCAGGAAGCCCTTGCACATTTCCAACGTTTATTCTTTTCGCTTTCAGGTAATTCTAAAAAATCTGATTTCAGCAAATAGACAATCGTTGTCATAAGATTCTTTCTAGAAATGGTTAGCATTAATGTAGTTTTACCACATATTTTTATGCAATTGTCATTTTAAGGTGGTATACCCCTCAGAAATATCAAATTTAAAAAAAAAAATACAATACAAAAAAAAAATACAATACAAAAAAAAAAAAAAAAAAATACAATACAAAAAAAAAAATACAAAAAAAAAAAAATACACGCCGTACAACTTTTCCGATTTATGTTGGTAGACCACATCATTTCCGTTGGTACACCACATCATTTGTTCTGATGCTGTAGACTCTGCTTGTTATAAGAATGTTGAAATCTTTTTAAAATTTTTCAAAAATTTTGAAATGTTGAATACTTTCTGTATACATTGACTTGTTTTCTTGTAACTTGATTTTTATGTTGTTTAACCAAAGTCATGAAAGTTTGGTATTCGTCTCTTTTTTTTTTGGCTAAGTTTTATTGACACTGCGGATAGACTTTCTTTGATATTCAGTCGCCGGATGTTTTCTGTGCCACTATTTTACTGCGTCATTGTATGAGAAAATTTTAAAACCAAGTCTAACTGAAAACAAGTGTATCATCCGTCTAACCAAATTTTCACTAAAATGCAACTTGGATTTACCAATGAACTTCAGTTCTTCTTAGTACACTACCCCGGGATTTCGCAAGTTAAAGTATTGATTCTAGTTTTGACTGAACTACCCGTGTTCTTCGGCATGGCGGATTGGTGTGCGTCTTTGCAAAAAATTGCGATGATTGGAGGCTGGGAACAAAAAAGCCCTACAATATTCGCCTTCCTGCTCCAAACGTGAGAGCAACAAGTTGATGAAATATTTTTTGTACTATTCTTAACTAGACTTATACTCATCGATAAATTTTAAGTTTCATAATATTATTTCTCAGCGTTCCAATGTGGATGTTTCGTTGTTTTCAATTGAAATCGCTCTCATATAGTCTTTAGCTTTTAGTCTACTGTTAATATAAGCATAAGTTTGTTTTGGATTTTTTTTCAATTATGCTGTAATTTTTTTTCATACTTTTTAATTATAATCTTTACGGGTGTTTTGACTAACTTATCTTTTAATTATATTTTTCCTTTAGATCTGAATTTTTGAAATGAGAAGCTTTGTATTAACACCAGAGGTTACGCTTGAGTCGAATTTTGTGTTTTAATACTTTATTCATAAGGATCTTTTGGTTTTAGTTGGTTTTTGATTAAATGAAGGTATGAAATAATTACATCCATTTTCATAAATTTTGATAAATCTTTCATTGCACTGATCAACATCAAGTTCTCATGACTCTAGTTAAATTTATTTAGATATTTTGAAAATTCATGATTTCATTTCATGAATGCTCGTTTTGTAGTGATATTTTTATTTTTGCAAATTATTATAAGCTTGATAATTAAAATTAAAACTTAGAATATAGTGACATCTTTTTATAATAAATTTGTTAATTTTGTGTCATTTAGTTGGAATGTTGGTTTTTTTAAATGTTGTGTAAGAATTAGTGACTAGAATTCCATATACTATTCAAGGATGGAAAATTGAAATCACCACATACCAAAACTTTAGAATATATTTTAGTTCTAGAAAAATGTTTGTAACTTTCTTTTATGGAATTAATTATGTTTTGACAGTTTACCAAATCATCACTTCCTGGTCTATAAATACAATCACATAATATGCGTTCATTGCTTATTTTAATTGTACACCATATCTGCTCGACATTTTTTGTTATAGGCTTCATTGTTGAGTTCAAACAAATAAATTAGGTCATTTACATAAATACAAAATCCATCACTTCTGCTGTTCATGCGGTCTCTGCAATAAAGGTCATACCCAGGTATGATTGCGGCTGAAGCATCATTCCACCATGTCTCAGTAGTGAAGTTATATCTAGAAAACTTATTTTAATTTCAGCTATAACTTTGTTTAATTTTTTTTTTTTATATGATGTGTGATGTGTGACGTGTGATGTGTGATGTATGATGTGTGACGTGTGATGTGTGACGTGTGATGTGTGACGTGGATGTGTGATGTGTGGCGTGTGACGTGTGATGTGTGACGTGTGATGTGTGACATGTGATGTGTGATGTGTGACGTATGATGTGTGATGTGTGACGTGTGACGTGTGATGTGTGATGTGGGACGTGTGATGTGTGAAGTGGTATATAAACATTTTAAGCTATTTGAGTTGGATCCATAAATTATAACTTTTGTGCATTATTATTTATTTTAGTATTAAAAGCTTTGATATTGGTTCTTTTAAATATTAGAATTTTATTTATTTATTTTTGCCACTTTATACTCAAATTCTTCTGTCTTTTTATTTCGTTTTACTACTTTTTATTACTTTTTATACATAAAATATAAGTCTTATAAAATGTCCTGTTGCTCATGTCAGAATTTCCAAATTAAAATTTTAACTTCAAACCTTCATTGCTTTGTTAAAATTTTTTCTGCTTTAGTCATGTCAGTATATACTAAATATTTGGTATCTTTTCCTTGTTACGAAAAGCTATTTTTAGCACTTGATTTCTTGTATGCACACCAAAATAACTGGCGACTTTTGCTACATACCCTTTAATCGTAATCTTGTAGTTTTATTTAATTTGCACACTTCGTAAACTTTTATCTTTCATGACTTTTAATACCTCTTTTTTATCATCTTCTTTTCTTTCATTTAAATCACTTTTTATGGACTGGTTTAAACCAGGTACAATAACATTTTTTGTCTTATAGCTCTTTCAGTTGTTTCATTTGCTACAGTATTAATAATATCTGTTTGTATTAGGGCCTTTTTAATATTTTCGCTTGCGACAATATTCCGTTTATTATACATGGATTGTTTTTAGTAGAAGTGTTTTCCGCTTCCAATTTTATTATTCTTTCTTCTGGATTTTTAATTTTTTTTTCTTTAGAGTACTAATTGTTTTATTCTCTCTAACAAGTCATCTAATTTTTTTTTTTTTTTTTCTATTTTTGGAGACATTGTGATTTGCAAAATTAAAACTAGATTTAAAAGTTTTTATCAAGTACTTGGGACTTTTTTATACTTAAAATGTTTAATTTGTCATAATGGGAAAAGTTAAAAAACAAAAAGTCCTTCATATCTTTATACCAAATCCAATTAAAAGACATTGAACTTGACACTGCCCCAAAAATTAATTTACGGATAAAGAAACTACCTTTCCGATAAATTTTAAAAGGTGTTCAAATTGAGACAAAACTTTAGAGATATCTTGTGTCACAACGCGACAGTAATAAAGTTCTCCGCACCACACCCCCAATATCGCTCTCAACTTGTTCCTCCACAAAGCGGTTTTATTCGCTTAAGTTTGTGCTTTCATGTAGCGTAATAATGCTTAAAAAAAAAAAACAAAAAAAAATTGCATTAAGTCACAAAGATTGCAATATATAGACTTAAGTGTGATTACCGAACAAATACAAAGAGGTCGTAACTCTTTTAGGCACCCCTTTTAGTAAGACCTTAAAAAAGTCTTATACGAAACGAATATTGTTGAAAACCATACCCTTACCTTTAGGATTAGGCTTAGGGTTTGGTTACGGTATGGTTTTCAGTAAAACAAACTTTATTGTTGGGTTCAGGGTTAGAGAAAAGTTTTAAACAAGTATTTTTGAAAAACGTGACTCGGTTTTAACGGTTTACTAAAGAGGTGCCTAAAGTACACGTTCGCCACTCTTTTGATATTATTTAAACACATCAATTTCGTCATCCATCTTTGTTTAATGTTTCAGCGAATTATTGTTATTGTAAAACAGGTTTAAGTTACAGAATGAAAAACCTGAAAATAAGAACGCATGATATAACACAAACTTGTTTCTCTACGCAGCGTTTGTCAAAGTTCACGTTTCGGACTTAAAGAGTTGAGAGAGAGTTGTAACTACAGTTGAAAAAAAAAAAAAAAAACTTTCTTGACTGGCTGCCGTGGGGAGATGAAGAGAATTAAAAAAAAATCACTGAAAAAATGAAAGATCGATGTAAAACTTAAGGTCTTAACAACTCAAAATTTAGTCAAAAAACAAAGACTTATTTGGCATTATGATGTCATATGTCACATTTTTGTCAATCATAATAACATAATTTGTAATTTTAAATTCTTAAATTTCTGTCAATCGCATAAAAAATATAAAGAGGGAAAAGTGTAAACAAAGGAACTATAAATTTTTTAAAGTTATAAGCTTTAATAGAAAAATATGTATATATTTAATCATAAATAAATAATTGTGAAAATCTGTTATTATTAATGAATCTCAGGTGTGTATGTTAAAAGAACAAAGGTCACCCAAATATGTAAGATTATCTAAAAATAAAAAAAATGTTTTTAATTATAAAAAAAAACATATAAATAAAAATTTAAATTAAAAAAGGAATTATACCATGTAGATAACAACCATAAGTCGTGCAGTAGGGTAGCGGCGTAAAAACACACCAAGTTGAATGCTATAAAAATAAAACAATTTTGTAAAATAAATACTTATTCAACAGATACCTCATTAAATCAAAGAATCTGCCAAAAAACTTCTACTAAAGAATCTGCCAAAAAACATCTACTAAATTATGTATTATAATGAGTAAATATATACCCACGACTGTAGTTGTTAGTAAAATTATTAAACTAAGTGATAATATCTTTTTTTTAATCAAAATGCATACACAGCACCTTATTTTATCAATTGTATTCACGGTTTTTTTCCAATGTTGATTTCGTGTAATTTGTGAAGGCATCACCGAAGAAATCGATGCAATATGAGAACCTAAATATATCAGTATGTGAACAAATAAGATTTTTCTTGAAACCAAACAAATAAAGCACGACAAATAAAAACAAACAAATAACAAACATCTCATCAATTTATCGATGATTAAATAAATAATTGTAAAGAATAATTTTAATAACCTACGTATTCTGTTTAAAATGTTCAGAAAAACTCGATTACCTTTAAAATGCTTATAAAACGACAATAACCTAGTATGTTTAAAATGTTAAAAAACTTAATTACCTATTCTATTTAAGCGTTTGAAAAAAGAAACTCGATTATGATTATTAAAAAAGCTGTCTAAAAAAATTGATACAATGAAAACTGGTTAAACTAACAATTGTATCTGAGTGTGGTTTAGATCACAAAAAAGCAACTGTTTGCATTGTGACCAAAATACAATAATTATTTAAAAATTCTATGACTTATGATTAAAAGGTACAACTAATTAAAGTTTTTCTAAAAACTTCAAGAATAACAAAACAAGAAAGACTTAGTCTAAGCTAAATTATAATTTTTAGATGACAATGATCAATCAATAATTTAAATTTCCTTAAATAATATTAAAAAAGTCATTTATGTTTAACCTTCTAAATTTTGAGAAGTCAATAATGCGAAATAAATAAATTCCAATATTTGAAATTCAAGCCATAGGTTTTACTTGTTGCATTTTTCATTTTTAAATTTGTTGTAATAAAAATGTGATAAAAATTTGCACAACCTTTGAACAGTTAAAACTTTTTAAATTTGTAATTAGTCTCACTTTCTTTGCTGTTTTAAATATTTAGTAAAAAGACACTTATAAAATGTCTTTTTACTAAATATTTGGTTTATTTAGATAAAAAACGCTAAAACTAGGAACATCGCACAGTACTTTGTTGCTTTTAATCACATTGAAAGAGCCTAATTAACCAAAGACTCATAATTATGACTGCTAGGAACATCAATTATCTGAAAGGTTAAAGAACCAGTTCAACAAAAAATTATGAAAAAAACTTCAACAAAAAATTATGAAAAAAATTTAAGTTGATTACTCATACAGTATAAAAACAAATTTGAAAAAAAAATTTTTTCTAGGAATATTCACTCGTGCAATCTTTAAACTTTTTATTGTTCCTAACGGACTGGGACTCAAATAACTACAGGACTAAGACTTAAACAACTAGAGGACTGGGACTATAACTAGCAATTAGCCAAATAGCATATAAAAATGATTGGATTATTAAATGATTGATTCTTTTTATTAATAAACACCACAGTAATGATAATTATAAATTTTGGTCTGACTTGTGAATGGTGTGAAAAGCTTTTCACATTTCTAGCATAGTACGCAGAAATATGCTTAAGTTGTGAAAAACTAACTGTATGGGAAAAATATGATACGAAAGCTGATAATTTGGTTAGTGTCCCAGAATTACGATCTATTGATGATTTCTGGTTTGGTCAAAGACTATGAGTCAAAGACTGGTCTTAGACTGGTCAAAGACTATGAGTCAAAGGCTGGTCTTTGACTGGTCAAAGACTATGTGAGTATAAAAATAATTGGAAACCTGAAAATGAAGGTCAACTGTGAAAAGTAATCCATTTTAGCTTTAGAAAAGATAAAATATTTTACAAGTTATATACAAATATGTATACAGAAAAGTGGACGCAGTATATTGTATTGGCTAAAAATATATATATATATATATATATATATATATATATATATTGTCTTCTATTCTGTTCTAATTTTTTGTTCATCAAACTTGTACTATGATTATTTGTACCATTTATTTTATGCTAAATTTTTGATACCAGTGGTTTATACATAACATTTATTGTTTAACTTTATTATTACTTTACTTAGTGTAAAATAAAAACTTCATGTTTCTCCATAAAAAAAATATACCAGCTTCCAAATCATCAAAATCATTTTGTTGGTTTGCTTTACTTCTTTTGACCAAACTATTCTGTACATCTGCATATTGCTTCTATAATTAAATAAAAAATTTGTATTTTCTATTTAGGAAACAGTAAACATGTAAAAACTTAAATTCAGAACATTTTTTAAATATAAATTTCTATCTGAATTTATAAGAAAAAGGAAAAATTCCCAGCTATTTCCCTAAAGAAGAAATGATACAAACTTATAAAACCAAGATCTCTTTGCTATTTCTTTAGGGAAGAAATGACATAAACTTATAAAGCTGAGGATATTTCCTAACAATTTCCTTTACAAAGAAATAGCATAAATTTATAAAACCAAGGAGACCTCACAATTCCCTTAAGAAAGAAATGACATGAATTTTTTAAAAACATCTTCAAAAAATCAAAGCACTATTACTTGATTATGCCAATGTTAAAAAGTAAATAGAAAAACAATGTAAACCATTTTAAAACATACTTCTAATCGTTCAAGTTGAAGTACAAGCGAATTCTTCTCTGTTCCTAAAGCCTCAATGGTTGTCTGTTTGTGAATTAGATTTTCTGTAAGAGTTCGCAATCGGTTTTCAAGTTCTTCTTCTGAAGAGCTTACACTTCTTTTTGCAACCAACTAAAGAATAAAACCTTCATTCTTTTCTGATCTAATTATTTAAAAAGGACTAACAGTTGTTTACCTAAAAAACTTTAGTGGAAAAAAAAACATAGGGTAAGGCGGGGTGAATTCGTCACGGAGCGAATCCGTCACTTATGCGACTCAGCTTTAAAATAATAATGCATAAAAACTAAGAAATCTATTAACTAGGTTTTTTCGAAACTTTTTCAACTGATATTTGTAGAATATTACTAAATAAATGTTTTATATATTTACCTCCGATTATTCTTTAAATATTGCAAATAAACATTGAAGTTGAAAAAATATTTTTCTGCTTAAATGCCTATCGTCAAAAAATTATCAAAATACGCAATGTTTTGACCACAAAGTATATATTTTTTGATTGATTGATGTCAGTAGTTTTTAAATAATAATTTAAGTTACTATGTTTTTGCCTTTGGAATCGTCACGTAATGATTGTTAGCACATACTCAAATGAGGGGCAACTTCGTCGATGAAGAAAAGTTAATACGAAAAATAAATTAGGTTGTTTCATCATGCAAATTTCTAAACTACCGAGCGCCGTTTGAAAGAAAAACAAATTGTGATCAAAATGCGCTCCAAAGCTTTAGACATTTATAAGAGAAAGGCTCTTCAGAATATATTAATTTACAGTTAGCTTTTAAAACTTTTTGAAGTTTTAATTATAAACACGACTTTGATGTGAAACATGTAAACAAACTTATTATAATGTATAGTCTGAAATATATATACAGTAAATAATAAGTATATAAAACATATATGTTATATATTTTTAGGCTATCCACTGCCTATTTTTATACATATTTAAAATATGTATAAGTATTAAATATTGTTAAAATATTATTGAAATTCAATAAATATTATTAGAATGATTAATATTATTTACTAATTTTACATTAAAATAAGACTTTTATTATATATTATATAGCAAAGATCTTATTCTATTTTAAAAAATATATATAATATTATACTATTTAGTATAACTATTATATATTGTAAAAAGTAAATAGTAAGTATATAGTATAAAATGTGTGTACAGTATAAAATATCTGTTATAAGTATTTTTTGTAGTATTTATTATAAACAAATGTATCATTCATTGGAAAATATAAAGCATTTATATATATATATATATATATATATATATATATATATATATATATATATATATATATATATATATATATATATATATACATATATATATATATATATATATATATATATATATATATATATATATATATATATATATATATATATATATATATATATATATATATATTTTTTTTTGTGTATATACATATTGTATATATATATATATATACTCTTGCATGTCTCTTGCGTAGCATCAAAAAATATTTCCCATAAACTGTAGTTTTAAAGAGCGCGTTAATAAACCAGACCAGAAAAAGTTTTAAAAATTAAATTTTTTTTTTTAATTGATAGACTGCCTGGCCAAACCAAACCCTCAGTCGATGTAGCAGCACTCTCTTGCGAGTCAGGCTATTTGTCAGTCGTTGTAGCAGCACTCCCTTGCGAGTCAGGCTATTTGTCAGTCGATGTAGCAGCATTCCCTTGCGAGTCAGGCTATTTGTCAGTCGATGTAGCAGCACTCCGTTGCGAGTCAGGCTATTTGTCAGTCGATGTAGCAGCACTCCGTTGCGAGTCAGGCTATTTGTCAGTCGATGTAGCAGCACTCCGTTGCGAGTCAGGCTATAAGATAGTCGATGTAGCAACATTTACGCATGTTTAAAAAATGTTTTTTATTAAATCAATAACAAAAACACCACTAATTAAAAAAAACTTTCTAGTCGTTATAATTGCGGTTTTTTAAAAATTTTTTAAAAAACAATTAAATTTAATGTACTTCCGCATAAATTAATTGCTTTGACATTTCGATGACAATCAAAAACAGCTTAAGAGACGAGGTAATTAAAATTGTAGTCGTAAGAGACTTTTTTTACATTAAAATGCTCTTAAAGCGACACTATATGAGTATATATATATATATATATATATATATATATATATATATATATATATATATATATATATATATATATATATGTATATACATATTGTATATATATATATTTATTTATATATATATACCAATATAAAAAAAACTAAGAATGTATTATTACTTATGGTAGATTTTAATAACATTATTTTTCATGTTAAAATGTATAGATGGTACGTAATTATAAACCAAAGCGACAAAAAAATTATAATGCAGAAATTTTTCAGGCTGCTCTGCAAACCATTATAGATGGAGAAACTATATCAACTGCAGCAAAACAATTTAATATTCCACGTACAACGTTGATTGATAAATTACGGGGAAAACATCAAACACATTCTATAGGTGGTAAAACAATTTTCTTTAAAAATCAAGAAGAAACTCTTGTTCAAAGGCTGCTTTATATGGCTGATAGAGGGTTTCCTCTCACAATAATGTGGTTAAGATCTGCTGCTTATTTCTATGCCAAAAGCTTGTGTAGACGTCATTTATTACAGAAGTCCATTCCAAAAAGTTGGCATAATAAATGTTTGGCATCACGTGATTGGTTTCTCTCATTCCGAAAAAAGCATACTCAGTTGACACTAAGAATTCCTGAAGGGCTTTCTCGAGCAAGAGCAGAAGCATTTAATGAGAATCGCGTTCAGACATTTTTTAACGATTTACAACCTTTTTATGAACAGCTTGACATAAAAAATTATCCAAATTTGATTTATAACTGTGATGAAACTGGCCTTTCATCTGTGTTAAATGTCTCTGTTAAGGTAATAGCATTAAAGGGTTCTCATGAGGTACAAAAGTTAACTATTGGTGAACGTGGCACACTAACAACATACCTGGCCACTGTTAATGCAGCAGGAGACAGCTTACCACCATTTTTCATATTTAAGGGAACAAAGATTCCAGATGCATCTAAATTTCCTTTGGGTACAAAAGTGCATTGTAGTCAAAGTGGATATATTGATCAAGAGATTTTTATTGCTTATTTACATCATTTTAATGAGTTTTGTACAAAAGTGAATAGGAAAAAAGTATTGTTATTTTTGGATGGCCACAAAAGTCATGTGACTATTGAAGCGATTGAATTAGCAATAAAGATGGATATTGAAATAATATGCATTCCACCTCATAGTACACATCGCCTTCAACCACTTGACACACATGTTAATAAAGTAGTTAAACATATGTGGTCTGAAGCCTTGTCTAATTACTTAGCTGAAAATGATGATATTTCTTTGCCTCGTTGCAACTTTCACATTATTTTTAACAAAATATGGCCAAATATACTTACAAAATGAGGATTGATTGTTAATGCGTTTTACCATTGTGGTTTGCATCCCCTAAGAAACCCAGTAAAAGATTTCGAATATAAAAAAGCAGAGGTTTTTAATAAAGCAACAATTCACCAGGGAGACCAAAATTTATCTATTTTAAGGACTATTATACCTTCTCCTGAAAAAAAAAGGAAACCTACTCATTCAAAACGCCACATTGCTCTTATTACATCACCAGGTAATGTTAAGCTGATAAAAGAGCCTCCTGCTTAAAAGGCTGCAATAAAAAATGTGGTCAGTGTTAAACAGAAGTCAAAAAAGGATCACGATAAATCAGTTAAAACCAAATCAAAAAAGACTTTTTTTCCAGCTGATTCTGATCACCCAAGTTCTTCAAGTTTTATTCTAAAAAATAACACTGATAAAGACTTTTGTTGTGTTTGTGCAGCTGTTTGGGCAGAAGCAAGTGAAGATTGGCTTAAATGTTTAAATTGCAATCAGTGGGCATGCGAAGGATGTTTTGGAGTTGATACATGTGCAAATTGTGTGCAATGAACATATAAACGTCTTGTAAATTTTTAAATAGTCATAGTAGTGATATGATTTTTGTTATTTAAATAGTCGTAGTAGTGATATGATTTTTTGTTGCTTTAACGTGCTATTTTTTGCGCTAGCGCGGTTGTACGGTTTTCATTTATGCCAAAATCATTATTTGATATTTTCTTGGAAAAAATTTAACAATTGATGTCTTTTTAGATGTCCTTTTTGATGTCCTTTTTGATGTCCTTTTACCCTAGGCCACTGCAGTCGAGGAGGCTACTTTAGTTGTGTTTACAACCCTCTCTCAACTCTATAACTCCGAAACACGAACCTTGACGATCAAGGTTCGTGTTTTGGAGTTATAGAGTTGAGAGAAAAACAAGTTGAGCGCAGTACTACCAGGGACGCGGTGGGAATCGAACTCGCAACTTCTAGGTTTACTTCTAGATTAGGGAAATCATCCTACTGTGACCTCAAAAATGTTTTATGTCAAAGTTTTTTTCTCCTAGGTAAGTTGCCTTTACCACTAGAAAGGAATTTCGTCTATCGCCCGAGTCACGAATTTTTAAATTAGTTTAGCTGTACTGACGAATTGGCCCCGTAATTGACGAATTCGCCCCTCATGAGTTGATGATGAAAAAATCAAATTATACGCTAAAGTAACTTTAGAATTCATTTTGATTCAATACATTAACAAAATAGAGACCCTAATTAATAAAAAAAAGTTTTTAAACTAGAAAAGTTCACTTATTTATATGCGAATTCATTTTGTTAAAGTAAAACATGACGAACTCGCCCCGCCTTACCCTACAATTAATAATAAAACAACAAATTGTTTACTTGCTGTTGGAGTCTATTAATTTCTGCGTCATATTGCTAAAATAAAAAATTATGTTATTTTCATAAACATCAAAATATTTAGTTTATATGCTTATATATATATATATATATATATATATATATATATATATATATATATATATATATATATATATATATATATATATATATATATACACATATAATGAAATAAATAAGAAGATTTTTAAGAAAAAATTACCTGAATTAATGATACATTGGATATTTTAGTTTTATGAAGTTCATCTCTCACAAAATGCAATTCCTAGTTAAAAAATATTCACAATAAAGTACACACTAAAAATATCAACAATAAAAGAAACATAAAACTAAAAATAATATATAGTATCTTTTTGTCAAATATTTTTGTATCAAAAGAGATAGACTGTCAGAAATAATAAAGACCAATAAGATTTTGAAATATTTTATTAACTGGTTGATTGATTTTGTTTTTAAAATGGTTTGAAACAAATGTAGCTTCTTTACAAATAACAAAACTATAATATTAAAAACTTGATTGTAAACTGAGAAAATGTATTTGCAAGTATAAGATTGTTTTAGACAAGTGGATTAAAAATTGGAATGTTTCAATTATTTTGCTTGCAAAAGTTCAAAAAAAAACCACAAGTTGTATCATCAAATCCAGATTAGAAAGAGAGTCGAGAAACCAAGAAAGAGGACTGTCAAGTTTAAAACTTAATCAAAAATTAATTAGGTGTATTGATGCAAATCCAGATTACTCATCAATAAAAAATAAACAATAAATAAAAAAAATAAAAAAATAGGGGTATTCCCAAATCGACAATCAAAGAAGTCAAAAAGAGATATAGCTACAAGACATACAAAAAGCAGAAATTCCCTGGAAGATCCCAATAGCAATTCAGCAAAGGCTAAAAAAAATTGTTGAAAAAAAAAATCTGTAGATGGCATTGAAAAAGTCTTTAAATAGCAAAAAAGATGGTACTCCTAATATTGCTGGTTTTGAGTGTAAAAAATTAACTTATAGTGAAAAGTAAATTAAAGAAATAACATAAATAGTGGTGAAAAGACTGTGTTGGTAAGTTCTGTTATCTACAAGATACAATTGGATCAGCTGGAGGAGCAGATAAGTCAATAAGAACAAGAGAAAGGTGTGCCTTAGCCTAATAGGCCTAAACCCTCAGAGAATTCTCTTCACTTTCAACAGCAAGAGGTATATTGTTAGAAATTAACTAAAAGTTATCACTGTACACTTGTACACTGCATGCATTCAGAGTGTTATGATATATGACAGTAAAACACGGACAATGCAGATTTATGATTTCTAGCATATACAATGTCATCAAACATTGATTTTTTAGATTAGAAATATTGTGCATATTTGATAGGGTACATCAGGAAAGATTGCTAGGAGAAAAAGAAAGGTGGCTTGGGCATCCATAGTATAATAAAGTTGAATAGTCATCATCATGTAGAGAGCCAGTAAGTAAATGTACTTTACCTCTCTACATGATGTAGACAGGTAGAAGTAAGAAATTTCGGAGAGAGTTTACATATGACATGAAAAAACATTAGAGAACACAAAGTATTCAAAATTATATTTAAATCTGCTGTTTACATATGTAAAATTAGAAATAAAACATTCTAAACTTTTTTCACTTAAATTACAAGTGAATGTGTCACATTTTGAGTGAAAATACAAAATTTCTTAAAACACAAGTCACATTTTTAAAACATAAACTATATTTGACTAAATGCAAGATAATAATTTTTTAAATTGAAATATATTGTTTTATTTAAATTTTTTTATTTTTTTTTTAAATATTTAAATTGAAATATATTGTTGTATTCAAAAAAAATTTATATCAAATTTTATGTTAAATGTTATATTTTATATATCTATGCTAATATTGTCTGTTTCTATAACAAAAACAAAAATGATTTTTTAGTTCTGATCTCTCTTCCAGTTCTAAAAATATTTTTTATATTTACTATATTTTGTATTTATATTTATATACTTTGTGACAAAGTAATGATTTTGATAAAATTTCTTCATTCTTAAAAATGAAATAATAATTTTGATAAAATTTCTTCATTTTTAAGAATGAAATAATAATTTAGACAAAATTTCTTCACTCCCAAAAATGAAATAACTTTTTTCTATAATGAAGGAAATACAAAAAACATTCACTTTAAATCTTTTTTATTTAAATTTTGATATATTATTATCAAAAAGTGATACCTGCATGTATCGCTTCATGTCATCCTCTGCATTATTTCTCTTTTGAATTTCTTCCTGTAATGACATTTGTAAACTTTCAATGCGATCATTAGTTTCTTCTCTACCTTCATTGTGAACCATTTCTAAATCCTTAAAACATTTAGAATTAAAAAAATGTCAAATCTTGGAGAATAATAAATTTAAAACCATAAAAAATATGAAATAAAAATAAAATTTATTTACCTATTACAAAAATGAGAGATAAGTTATTAAAAAAATAGGTTTTGTCAATATTTGATTTAAAATTTCATGAATGACACAAACAAGAGAGTTTTACACATACATGATACAATTGCTTTATTTATGCAGAAGATTTTTTAATGTATAAATTAAGGTCAAAACTTTTCAATAACTAACATGATACTCTGACCGCAGTTGTTCAATTGTGTAAGTGTTCTTTTTAATTTCATCACTTAATAAATCTCTTTCTTGTTTCAATGATTCTAGTTCGGAAAAAAGCATTAATTGAGAATCAGAAGAGGATACTCCTTGCTTTAAAGAGTTTATTAGTTTTTCTTTTGCCTAAAAAAAAAAAATCAAACAATTTTTGAAGCCATTATATATTTCTAACTAAATCAAATTAGTAAGTCTTAAAATACCTGCAAAATACGAGCAGCTTTTTCTTTGTACTCAGCAAACTCATTTTGTGCTTGACAAGCTGTTTCTTCTGAATGTTTTACCTTTAACTCATACTCAAGAAGTTTAACTAAAAATAAAATAAATTTTACCAATTTTTAATAAAAAAATTTTTTAATTTAAATTTTCTTTTTAAAATAAAAACTTAAATTTTTTTTTGTAACTTTTAAATTAGTTTGAATATTGATTGTGCTAAGAAATGTTTAAATGTAGTTAAAAGGTATGTTTAATTACTACATTAATTGCCTCATTTGCATTTAATAGCGCAAGTAGTTTGTTGTTGTTCTTTTTGCTCAGACTTTGTATCTGTAACTTTACTTTGCTATGTGGTTTATGTATATATAAAATTGTTATTAATTAGAAAATTGAACTCGCAATAAATGTAAAATATGAAATTTGCAAGCTCGTGTTTACTATTTTCAAATTTTTTTTATTTTTAAAACATTTCTTTCGATGAAACAATTCATTAAATGATGGTTTAAGGGTTCATCCATAAAGGAGGTCAATCAGAATTTAAATAATAGTTAGAAGTAGAAGAATCCATGTATACTCCATGGCACATGTCCCCTTTTCTTTAGAAATTGTATTAGCATTTTACTGAGCATGTCCATATTTTTTACACATATATATTACAAACAATTACAGGTTCATATTACCATTTATATACCTGATTTATGGAATCCTGTTTGCATATGTATTTCTGTCATTAATTTTTATTTAATACAGCTTCTAAATTTATTAGAATTTAAAATTTAGCTGTAACTAACAATAACTTAAAAATAAAGTGATAACACATATAATATTCTTAAATATATTTTGTAAAAATCAAAGCCATTTTTATCATTTGTAATCTGCGTATTATGTGCACAGCGAAAATAATATTTTTTACCAACAAGTTACAACTTGTAACTATTAGTTTAAAAGAAGTACCTTAACAACAAATCATAAGTAAATTTCTGAAGTTTGTATAAGCAAATAACCCATAATTAGCAAATAAACCCATAACAGATACCCATGATAGATACCCATGATAGATACCCATGATAGATACCCATGATAGATACCCATGATAGATAATACTTTATTTAATCAATTAGCATTTAACAAATGTATATATTTTTTGGTGCATTGCCCTCCCATACTTGTAAATTTTAAGGCCATGTAAAAAAAAAAAGTCCGTTGCAATTTGTCATTTGATCTGTGCTCTTATACAATAAAAATTTGATTGCTGCAACTTTGCAGAAAGGCAATATAAATGCTGATCATCTGTTAATGGATAGCAATTCTCCAAAATCTTTATCACCTCTTACATTTATTTTATCAAACCATTCTTCTTTGTTTTTCCGTCACAAACAATGCTGCAATCATCAACGAAATTTCAAATATCAAGAAATCGTAATTCTCAATAATAAATTCTTCTAAATTATCAAATGAAAAATTAGGACAACGATTCCAATGCAATCAAATGATTAACCTTGCAATTTATGAAATTTTTAAAAAGTAATAAAAGTTTTGACCAAATGAAACATGTAATCAAAAATTTTTTTAGAACTTTTCTTAAACTTTTGTTGAAAAAAAAATATACACAGTATTTTGTTTTCATTGGCCGTCATCAAATCAAATTAATTTTATTAGTTTAAATTTTAAAACTAATAAAACACTAGACTAATAAAACAACCCTGACTAGAACAATTTGCTTTTAATATATTTATAAATAAATTCATGGTGTTTATCTGCATGATGGTGTTGGTCACCTTATTATATATTATCTATTTTATTAGATTTTTTATTTACTTGGAAATAATGTCTTTATTAACAATTAGTTTCAATAAAGTTAGTTTTAAAATTTGCCATAAACCAAGTTTCATTATCTAATTCCAAATAATTTCAAAGATATATCTATTTAAAATTTGCTATGAACCAACAAAAATCTGCTATTTTAAAAAATGGTTTTGGTCTTTGTTTCTGTTTTGTGTGCAATGGAAAGCTGAAAATATGTACACTTACATATTTTGAGGCAAGGAATTCAATAAAACAACTTAAAGTATTTCAAAATAAACATAACACCTGTAACTTTGACCTTTATCACAATTTTACTGGGGCAAGTTTAGTTACAAAAATGCCAATGTAGCTCGGTTTTTTTTAATTAGATGTTGTCCTAAATAATTTAGTTAGAGTTGTTACAAAGAATTGGAGAGCAGTCTTTTCTTAAACAAAATAAAAAATATGGTCAAATTAATTTGTTAATTTATTTGTTAACTATAAAAAATGAATAATGAAAAAAAAAAAAAAAAAGGGCGAGAATTTCTATTATACACAGAACAAAAACAAAGGCCAAAATCATTTTTAAAAATGACAGATTTTTGTTGGTTCATAGCAAATTTTAAATAGTTATTTCTTTGAAAACATTTGGAATTAGATGATGAAACTTTGAAGATGTTCATAACTTTTAAAATTAAAAAAAAAAAAGGATGCTTTCAAGTAGAATTGTCCAAATAAAAAAATCTGAAAACCAAAACATGGTCCAACTTCAACATTGCACAATGGACCAGAATTCACTTTTACTGAACAAAAATTTATTTAAAAAAGATTTAAAGACCATTATTGCACTGTTTACTAATTTGAGAATTGTGGTTTCTATAGTGACATTAATATTTGTTTTGGGTTGCTATGGATACCTAAATTACTTAGCAACCACATACTTTATTAACCATGATAAATATTAATTGGACAAAAGTAATAACCTCTAAAATACTCATCAGATTATTCCCATATTTACCACATTGAGTATTTTTTATACTACAAATCTAGTGGCACAATGGATTTTTCATTTGGTAGTGTCACCTGAAATGCCAGGCAACTGTTCATTTTACAAGTTACAAGATTAAGTGACTTTCTTAAAACAAGAAACCTTATAATCTAGACTAATATTGCTGTTGCAATCTGATTAAAGTTTTTTTTACGCATTTGAAAGAAACACATAAATACATATGCATTTGAAACTTACATTCATGCGTTTGAAAGAAACACATAGCCAATTACTAATTTTAGGTGTTTTTATGCAGATCCAGGGCTCTTTTATATTTATTGAAACTACTGCATAATTCATATAAAAAAGAATCTAAAGAAAATTTTTTAGAGCTTTTGTATATATGCCACCTCAAAAATACTTAATGAAACAAGTTTTTATTTGCTGTTATTTACAACTGCATCCAAATTATAAGGGTTAGCCAACCTCAAGTTTTCTTGTATTAAGTATATATATGTATATATATATATATATATATATATATATATATATATATATATATATATATATATATATATATATATATATATATATATATATATATATATATATATATATATATATATATATATATATATATATCCTTATAGTGTGTCGAAAGAGTCTTTTAATGTTAAAAAAGTCTCTTTCGACTACAATTTTAATTACCTCGTCTCTTAAGCTGTATTTGATTGTTGTCCAAATGTCAAAGCAATTAAATTAATGCGGAAGTACATTAAATTTTATTGTTTTTTAAAAAAATTAAAAAAAACCGCAATAATAACGACTAGAAAGTTTTTTTTAATTAGTGATATTCTTATTTTTGTTTTATTAAAAAACATTTTTAAAACATGCATAAATGTTGCTACATCGACTATCTTATAGCTTGCTGCTACAAGGGAGTGTTTCTACATCGACTATCTTATAGCCTGACTCGAAACGGAGTGCTGCTACATCGACTGACAAATAGCCTGACTCGCAAGGGAGTGCTGCTACATCGACTGACAAATAGCCTGACTCGCAAGGGAGTGCTGCTACAACGACTGACAAATAGCCTGACTCGCAAGGGAGTGCTGCTACATCGACTGAGGGTTTGGTTTGGGCAGGCAGTCTATCATTAAAAAAAAAAAAAATTTAAGTTTTTAAACTTTTTCTGGTCTGGTTTATTAACGCGCTCTTTAAAACTACAGTTTATGGGAAACTCTTTCTGACTACCATGCAAGAGTATATATATATATATATATATATATATATATATATATATATATATATATATATATATATATATATATATATATATATATTTTATGTTTTAACTACATTATATAAAAATATAAAATACATATACACATTTACAAAACCTTATAAATAGGTATTTTAAGATGTATAGATATTAAAACAAGTTTGTAACACTAATCTAGCTTCACTGAGACCTAATTATTACATAACCATTTAGAATAAAAAACATTTAATGTTTTTGCCACATAAAATTGGATACAACATTTAACGTGTAAACATCATTATTTGAGACCATGCGGACATCTGCAAATAATAAACCAAATTTACATTGATAATGTACACATTGAACAATGTATTTTAAGTCTCTAATTACTTGACCACCATGGACTGCAAAAGTATTCACTATATAAGTGAAATTTTAACTTAAAAAATTTGTAATCAATTCATTTGACATAACTTACATGCAAAATTGTGGTGCAACATTTGAAAGATAACACTTGATTTTGTTAAATTATGCAACTATTTTATGCTTATCATCATATAAAATAAACAAAACTTTTAATTCTACGGCTTAGAGAGCATATGGCCTGGTTAGGCATGGGAATTCTGGGATGCCGAAATCCTGGGATTTTATACAAATTGTTTATTCCAAAATCTCGGGATTAGCCTCTGAAATTTCCTGGGATTTCGAGATCATCATAACAAAAGTAAAAGTCTCTCTCTTTCTGTATTTTGTTGATAATACAAACTAAAATTTATTGCTTATCTGCAAAATATGTAAGATTAAACATATTAAAATGTATATATTTTAAAACGGTTATTAAAAATAAATAAAATTTATTTTATGTGTGCGTGGTTTACAAAATTTTTTAATCAGTTTAAAATCAGTTTAATTAATGAAGTTATCAAAATACAGATTTATTAAATTACAAAAGTTTACTTAACGTCCTTTTAATTAATGAAATTATCCAAATACATAAGGTTTATTAAATAAACTTTAGTCGACATTATATAAAGTAGAAATTGTTTTCTAATGAGGAAGATTATATTTGAGATTCAAATGATTTATTGTTAATTAACAAAACATCAAAAGATAAAATTAAGCACGAAATTATTAAATTATTATAACAAAAGTAAGGAAAATCTTTAAAAGATCAAACAAAACTAAAAATTGTTAATAAAAGTATGTAAAAATTAAGTTTGGAAAGGTCATCGATTTAATCATAGTTTGCAAAGTTAAAATTAAAAAAGTTGTTGCGTTAAAAAGACACTTCTAGATTTAGAATTGGATTTCAACACCGTTAATTCAACTATGATGGATAATAAGGAGTGTAGAATGATATCTGATTTAGTAGTACTTTTGACTCCAGTTACAACAACTGTGTCAGCACTTGGTCAACAAGATGTAACTTTAATTTCCTCTGACATTGACAAAAATATGACATTGACAAGTTATGTTGACAAAAATAAAAGAACAACAATCTGAAATTAGAAAACAATTGTATAATGTTTTTAGCCACCAAATTAAAGAGAGTAACCAAATTAAAGTAGCGTTATGGAGCTTACTATATCTTGATAATGGTTACTTCATAAAAAATCTAAGAAGTTTTTGTACCAAATACAAGTACCCAAAATAAAAAAATTATGATAAACATGATAAAGTGTTTAAAATTGGCAGATATATTAACAACAGCAGACTTGAGTAGTGATAGTTGTGTTCAGTTGAACCAGGCTTTTTCAAGCAACAAATGTAATAATGTCAAAACAATTAGTGAACCAATAAATGAAGTTATGGAAAAAAGGTTTCGCAGCAATACGAACACAACCTATAAGGGTAGAAAGTATAACTTTTAAAATTCTAAAAGATATGTTGTTATTTGAAAGTGATAGTTCAAGATGTGATTGCCTTTAAAAAAACATATGATTATATACTATCTACATGGCCAACAAATGTGGAGTCTGAAGGAGCATTTTCAGCCGCTGGGTTTTTATGTTGAAAAAATTGAAAACTATTAAGTGATGAAATGATTGACACTTTGACTTTTTATTATTTTAAAGTATTGTTTTATAATTTAAATTATTTAGGTTCATTAATAAATGAAGTATTTTAGCTGTATTATCATTAAATTAATCATTTTTTAAGTGTTTGATGAGTAATTAAAATATTAGTTCTTCTTATGTTTCACTTTCTACAATTGCGTTTTTTTCTATTCACTCCTGGGATTTCCCAGGAACAAATTTCTCAATCCTGAAATCCCGGAATTGAAAATGTCTGGGATTTTTGCCATCTCTAGGCATGATAATTCTACAAAAATATCTACAATTTATAAAATCTGAATGTTTAAGCTATAAAATGGTATATAATGGTGCAATTTTTACACTTTTTCCAACTACCTGGCTGACTGTGCATTAGTCAGACTAGATTTTCAAGAAGAAAAAATTTTCAAGCCAAAAATCTCCTGGGTGAAAAAAACAATATAGCATGAAAAAAACAATATAACATTAAAAATGATAAAATTTTTGTTAATAACTCAATAAAAGTTTCAGCAAGTACAATTAACTTTAAATGTTCCAAAGTACATTCAAGGTATAAACATAACTTGTCTTAGCACTTAAGGATCCAAGTAAAAGTCTATAAAATTAATATTAAAATTATTTTTAAAATTTACCTTTCTCATCATTTTGTTTTGCTTGTAGCTGTTTTATGATTTCTGTAGACTGAATTTGTTCATTTTGAAATTTTGCTTGCATATTAATCAATTCTTCCTATATGAACAAATAAAACATGATGTATATTTATAGCAAAAACAAGAAAAGTACTAGAAAAAAAAGGCATTTTTTTAAATGGCGGACTGAGTTTTTTCACACTTTTATTTGCTTTGCAATTAAACACATCCATATTAAAATTAATTGAATCTTTTTTTATACTCTTATAATCTACTTAACTTAACCTAACCAATAGACTAAAAAAATCACCATTGATTTTATTGTGAATGCAATACAGTCAAGTATTAGAAATAGAATGAAAGTAAAAAAAAATGATCAAAACAAAACATTCTTTGATAGCTTATATATTTTACTATTACCCACCCTTCCAACAATAACCACCTTTCCCACAATAACAACCCTTCCAACAGTAAACATTACCAATAGCAATATGACTAACTTTTGGATTTTGCATAAATGGTCAGCTTCCATCTTTATTAGAAATAAAAAAAACTTTAAAATTAAACTCTATATTAAAAAAAAAATAATAATTACTTTTAATTTATTACACTCATGTTGTGTTTTATGAAACTCCTGTTCAGTTTCTTCTAATTTCAACTGCAGTTTTTGCAAAGCATCACCATGAAATCCATATGCATCTTTGTGATCTTTAAGAAGTCTAAAAAATGAAAACTAAATACAATGATTTTTTTTTTTGATCTCTTTATGCAACAATTATTAAGAAATTATTAGTAGCATAAGTAGTTAAAACTTAGTTAATTTTTAGGGTCAGAAAATCTATTTCTGACATTAAAAGTTTTGACCTATCTGACTGGCACACTCTATGGTTTTTTAAGGCCAACTTAAGCTATTTTGGCATCATATATATCAAAATATAGGTAAAATATAGACAGCTGACTGGCCAGATAAATAGTTATTACTTTAAAATTAATTATTAAATAATGATTTTATTTAAGTATAGCAATTACTAAAATAGCTATTGTTACTAATTGGTTAGGGTGGGGAGATGGAACAGAAGAGAGAGGTAGAGGTTTTGTAGAAATTATTTCTGAGCACAAAAAGTGTGATACATGAAATAAGTATCTGATTACAAATCTATTGCATAATCAAACTTTATTTTTAATTTTTAATAGTGGGGGGATTGATAAAGTTTATTCAATATGTGGTATACAATCTTTGATAACATGCAACAACGTGGAAAGAGAGGATGGGGGGGGGGGGGGAGAGAAAGGAGGAGTGAAGACAGAGGATCTTATCTAGTTAAAGTTATATTAGTTAAAAATAAATAAAATATATGTAATCATAAAGAAATACTTTGAAATTCCACAATAATAGATTAATTCTGAAAGTCATAGCTATATTCTGAAAGTCATAGCTGTATTTACCAATATTTTCAGATACTTCACTTTTTTCACTTATATTTTAAAAATCTTTCGAGTTTTTGAAATGGAGATAAAAATTGATTAACTGCATTATAAAATGAACACTCTTTGTCATATGGGTATGCATGTTGATTGCAAATGACTGAAAATGTCTATATATGAACATTAGTTTTGACCTTTTTTGCTAAACCCTGGCCAACTGGAGGAGAGCTGATGTTCAAGCTTGATAAAAAGAGCAGGTCCAACCATTTAAAATTTTTTTTGGACCTTTTCTAATAGAGAAAGGGGATCATTAGAAAAATAAACCAAAATATGAAAACAGTATTCCATACAAATACAAGATTTAAAACGGTAGAGAATAGAATCAGGAGTAAAAAAATAATGAACATCAAAAAATAGCAATTTAGCCTAACTTAGCAGTGGACTCATTTTCAAGAGAAGTCAGAAGTAAAAGATAGTGCAACAAGATTACTGGAAATGAAGGAGAGTGTATGCAATAATAATGTTGTCATTAAGGACAACTTTATTAGAAATGAATGATACAATAATTAAAAAGACTGATTTTAGAAATAAATGATACAATAATTAAAAAGACTGCTTTTAGAAATGAGTGATACAATAATTAAATTTTTTTTTCTTTCTTGATACACCATAAGAAGTAAGCTTATGGAGAATAGTGGCATGTTAGGCAAAGATTGAACATTTTTGATATGTTAAGAACTTGCTTTCACCCTTCCATCTAATTTAAAATAGAACCTTTCTGTTTTAAATGTTGCCTGCAGTAGAATGAGAGGATAGAAATCGATAATCAGCGAGTTGTCAAGATGAGATAACTAGAAATTTGTCAACTAATAATTAAAAACCTTTGCTAATAATAGTAAGTAGATAGAACATTAGTTAGAGGGTTCAAAGCAATCTTAAAAATTTTTAAAAATTAGAACTGCACTTGTTACCCTGCCTACTGGAATATGCAATTATCAAGTAGGCAGGATAAGAAGATACAGCTAAGCCCTTAATAAACAGTTTGGCGAGTATTGAAGAGATTGCTCGAGAACGATTTGTAAGACTTAAGTGGGAATGTTTAAGTGATAAATAACTTTGACAGCAAATGCAAAAGCATTCTGGATGTCTAACAATGGATTAATGTGTTTATTCTGAAATGACAGGAAGTGTGATCCTTGAATTTAAGAAACAAATAAGAAGATCAACCTCTCTGAGAGTTACCACAGAGTTTGATAAACCTTACTACCAGCCTACATTAGAACCATTGAACAAGGTTTATGAGATGATAACAAGAAAAGTTGCACAACTACTACCAAAAAGGCACAAGCTATAACCATGACAACCAAGCTATAACCAATGAGCATAGTGTAAAATTATCAGGATTTATCAACATTAAAAATGTAACATAAATTTACATCTATACCAACTGAATAAAATTTCTTGATATTAGAGTGACAAAGCATGGTACTGTACAACTATGTTAAAGCATAGTATACAAGGTGTGCACATTTGCAATTCATTTTGCTAATGCTAAAATGATTAACTACTTTACTTTTCATTTTGACTTTCAACCAACGCCAATGTTTGAATTTTATCTTTAAGTTCTAAATCCACCTCTTGTATGCGAACACGCAAAACAGCTAGTTGAGAATCTTTTGCTTTTAATGCTTCTTGCATATCAGCTTCACGTGCTTCAAAATCTTTACGAATGCGTTCATAATCTTCATTCTGTTGATTTCTACGATTCTCATATCTTTTTTGATACATTTCTGTTTCTAAACAAATGATTATTAAAAGATTAAAAAATGATAAACTGATCTGGTTAAAACTAAAAATAGACATAAAAAGGAATTTTAGTTTAGAAAATAATATTTTAAGTTCATTAGTTTTTTTTTTGTGTTATAGGGATGAGAAAAGTAAAACAAAAAAATATTTTTAAATTATAACGGCTAGAATTTGAAGGTTTAACACAGATTAGTTTGATTAAATTTTTCATATTATGTAATTTACTACTTCTACAATTTACTTTCAAGTTACTTTTTAAAAAGACTTTTTAAAAACAACTTTTTTAAAAGATTGGTTAACAAAAATTTATTCATTAGGCCATCTGACTATTTAGAAAAATCAAGAAAAGATTTTAACATTTTTAATACACAATCTTTAATACTCAACTTATAGTGAATAAAGTTTTTCAAAAAAACAAGTTGAGACTTCAGTCATTGATTTAACAACAACAAAATCATGAGTTGAATGACTGCAGTCGTTGCAGCCATTTAAAAAATCACAAGTCAAGTAATACAAATATTTAAACTATATTAAATTTTAAATATATATTTTTTTATTGAAATTTTAGAAGAATTTTTCATTAATTTCTAAAATTAAGTTTTAAAATTGTTTTTTTATATTTACAAGTTTTTAATATTTGCAATTCCATTCTTTCTCAGTGGACACTAATGTAATTTGGTTACACATGAAGTCAGAGTGCACTTATTATTTTTTTTTTTTTCTATTTTAATTGAATAACTGACAAAAAATTTATATAGAGAGCAATTAAAAAAGACTATAAAAAATCTTTGAAAACATAATACCAGTAATAAACTTTGTCATACAAAGTAATTAGTTAAAAAAACAAAAAAAAAACTGACATGTAAACAAAGACAATAAATAAAATAAAGTAAAGAAGTAAAAAACAAATAAATAAACCAAAATTCTTCTTACCATCTTTTTGCTTTTGTAATCTTTGGAGATTTAAAGCCAGTTCCTCATTTAAAACACTTAACTCGTTTTTAAGCAACTTATTTTCAAGTTCCAAGTTTGTAAGAAGTTCTTTATTTTGATAAGCCCCACTGCTGTTATTCTTTTCTGTTGCATGCATTACATTGACTTCTTTTATTGTTTTTTCTTAATTCAGAAAATAAATGAAAATAGAATTTTATGCTCATTTACACACAACCATGCTCTCCAAAACTAAACATAGTTTTAGGTTAACTATATATTATGTAGTATCTTTTATTGTGATAATACTAAATTGATTCTGCACAATGATATTATATTACTTTGCTGCATAATCACAATTAAAATGGAAATACAGTATAATATATTGCCAATACCTCAACAACACTAGTTTATTATAAGAAAACAAGTATTAAGATTATTTTGCAATTTTTTGATATTTAAAAAATTATTTACGCCAAGTGAGATAAGAAATGAAACAGTCATTTAAATATTTGGTCTTCAGTTAATTTAACAGAATAACTTTTAACAGTTACTGTTATAAAGTAACAACCATATTGTTACTTTCAAATAACTAATAGTTACTTTCAATTGGCTGTAAAGTTACTTTCAAACAGCCATATAATTACTTTAAAATGGCTATATGATATATATGATAATGGCTATATATATTTGAAAATAACTATATGGTTATTTTGAAATAACCATTTAGTTAATCTCAAATAACCATACTTTTATTTTTAAATAACCATATAGTTACTTTCAAATAACCATACAGTTACTTTCAAATAACCATATAGTTATTTTCAAATAATCATATAATTATTTTCAAATAACCATATCATTACTCTCAAACAACCATACAGTTACTCTCAAATAACCATATAGTTACTTTCAAATAACCATATAATTACTTTCAAATAACCATATAGTTACTTTCAAATAACCATATAGCTACTTTCAAATAACCATATTGAGCGCCGGCGAATATTGTTTACATTAAACGAATAGCAAATTACTATTCTTTAAAATTTGGTACAGAAGTATCAAACAAATAATACTAACTTTAACTTTGTTTAACGAATATTACTATTCATTAAGTGAGTAGTACTATTGGTTAAACAAATAATACTATTGGTTAAACAACTGATACTATTTGTTAAATGAATGTTACTATTTGTTAAACGAATAGTACTACTTGCTAAACAAACAGTACTATTCGTTAAACAAAGTTAAACAAATAGTAATATTCCTTTAATGAATAGTAATTTTTATTTAACAAATAGTATTATTTGTTTAACCAATAGTATTTTTCATTTAACAAATAGTATCAGTTGTTTAACCAATAGTATTATTCGTTTAACGAATAGTACTATTTGTTTAACGAATAGTATTACTCATTTAACAAATAGTACTAACAAATAGTTCATTTAATGAATAGTATTATTCGTTTAAGGAATAATACTATTCATTATAATAAGTTTATAGTACTGTCCATTAAACAAAAAATACTATTTGTTAAACTTTGTAACTGATGTTTAACAAATATTTGCTATTCAACTTCGTTTATCTTTAAAAGGCAAAGTTAAACAAACTTTGTTGGTGCATTAACCATATAATTTATTTAAAATGGCTATATAGTTACTTGCAAATAACCATATAGCCGCTTTCAAAAAACCATACAGTTATTTTCTAATAACCATATAATTACTTTCAAATAACCATATAGTCACTTTCAAATAACCACATAATAATTGTTAGAAAATCATTAAATTTATATAAATATTAAAACGAAGATTAAAAAAAACTTATTTTAAATATTACTAGGAATTCAAATGCATAAAAATGCATTTTAATTTCTACAGAATTTAATTTAATTTTAAAAATCACCTGTTCCAGTGCTAACTTTGACAGAATCTAACAGTTTATTGTCAAGATTGCTTTTTAAAGGCACATAAGATTGAATAACCTCTGAAGAAATGGTATCTGTTAAAGAAGACTTGCGCAAAGTTGCTGAATTGTGAGATACTTTTGGACCAGAATGACTTTTTCTGTGGCTCTTTTCAGATGGCTGTGAACTGTTTAAAAACTGGAATAACATTTCATCTTGTTTTATCAAAGAAGGTGTACTAGTAGAACGCATAAGGTTTGATTGGGATATTGCATCATTGTGTAGTTTGTTAGCTAAAATAATAAAATTAAAAAAATACACTAAACTATGATCATCAGGCTATGTTTTAAATTCTACATATATATTTTACATATTTCCTCCATATACTTAAATTATGTGTACATGGAGGACGACAAAAGTTAAAAGAGTCTAGGAAAAACAAACTTGATTTAAAGGACTTCAACATTGTCTTTAGAAAAAGCCTGTAACAACTTTTTTTTTATAAAAATTTATTTAGGATATTTATTATTTCTCTTAACATTAGAGTGTTCTGTGTTAATAAAAGAATGTTAAACTGCAACCCACTTAAGTAATAAATAATTTGTTAACCAAAATAGTATAATGAGTGACAACTGAAAAATGAGATTTAAAGACAAATTTCTTCTTTCTTCAAATTTTCCTTCAGGTATATGGTAAAACAAAAAGGAAATATGTTTTAAAAAGTACTTTTATTCTAGTTTTTAAATAATTTGTTTTTTTTTTTTTTATAGAAAAATGAATAAAAATAAATTCAAAACAAGAAGAGATTAGAAAACATGTACATGAATTTTATTTAAATTACAGATATGTTGGTTTCTTATTTAAATTACAGATATGTTGGTTTTTTATTTAAACTACAGATATGTTGGTTTTTTTTAAAATTACAGATATGTTAGGTATATTCTCAGTTTTAAAGTGGTCATAAGTTCTCTTATGACCACTTAAAAACTGAGATTATACCTAAAAGTACTATCTACAAGATTATTCAATATGCTGAAAGTGAATCCCGTTGCCAAAAAGTTCAAAGAATCGGAGAAAAGGCTAAATAAATGATTAAGACAAAACAAACTTATGTTTTACCATAAAGACGGAGTTTCTCAACAACAGTCAGTTGAAAAAGTTAAACTATACTCAGCAACACATTAGTAAAATATTTAGAAAAAAAAAATTAAACCAAGAAAAAAAAAAAAGATAATTCCAAAATGTTCTGACCAGCAAAAAAAAGTTTTAGAACGTGCAAGTCAATTTTGTAAAGAATCTAAAAATCATCATTGATGATGAGTCTTATTTCATATTAAATCACTAAAGTATCAATGGAAATGAAATGAAAATTTATACAATCAATATTAAATCTATTCCATCTACAATTAAATACCAAACAAAACAAAAGTTTCTAAAGAAATAACTTCTATGGATTGCTTTTTCTAAAAATGGCATTTCTCAGCCTTATTTTGTGCCTATTGGACTTGGTGTAAATCGAAAAAACAACTTAAACAAATGCATTAAAAAGAGACTTATTCCATTCACTGATAAGTATCATTCAGATGGTGCATATGTATTCTTTCTGGATTAGGCATCATCTCACTATGCAAAAATAGTAATCACATACTTGAACAAGAAAAAAAGTGCATTTTGTTAGAAAGCCAATAATATTTTTGATAGGAAAACAATCAACATATATACCAGAATATTGTCCTATCAAAAATATTTGGAGTATTTTAAAAGGGATTGTTTACAAGAATTTTTAAATTTTTTAAAAATTACCCTCTAAAATCAAGTATTGCCTTAACAAAGTTGATATTGAGCTCATACAGAGTTTAGCTATTAGTCTATACCAGTCCAAGCTATTAGTTATTAGTCTATACCAGGCCAAACTGTTAAAGTCAGAAGAAATGGTTTAATTGAAAATAACTAATTATATAGATAATGTCTGAAATAAAAATACTTTCTAAAATATTTTTCCTTTTTATTTTACCTTATACTTTAAAAGAAATGTGTCTTTAAATCCAGTTTTATTTTTCAGTTGTCATTTTTTATGTGTGTTAGTGCAAAAAAATACAAAAAACTTTTTTATTTAATAAAAAATCTCTTATATTTCATCAAATCTCTTATAAAAATTTGATAATTTGATTTGATAAAGTAGTATCAAAGGTATACTCAAAATTTCGTGTTTTTTATCAATTTTACTCTGCTCAACAGATACTTTTTTCAACATTAATTCTTTTGAACATATTATATAAAAGTATAATATTTTTTATCTGCCCTATAGTTGGGGTTTATTCACACAATAAAGCATATCAAAGGTATCAACCCCTAACTATATAAATAATAGTATTACTATTTTAAACAATCACTTAAATATTAATAAATTAAACTATGCCAAAAAACACAATACAATTAAAAAAAGTAAAGCAGTTAAGTTTTACACTGATACGACATAAAAATTTTATTAGAAAAAAAAATTGAGCTGAGCATAAAGCTACTAGGTGTAAATACCTATATATAGTTTTAGTATATACCAATAACTAAATTTTTTTAAATAAAATAAGGCAAGGTTTCTATAACTGGTAGTTGAGTTACAAAACCATTAAGCCTATTGACAGAGCTATTGCAGGTTCTTATATTGCAGGTTCTCATGCATCAAATGCAAAGATTTTTGGTCAAATATCAATGGTAAAAGAATATTAATTCATACTGCTTGTTTAGAAATGAAGTACACAAATTTAAATTGCAAGGAGGTAATAAAAAATCAATGACAAATAATGCTGCTCAAAACTGGGTCATGCACACAAATTATTGGGGTTAGATATTTAAAAAATTGTATAAACTAAAAAATATTGCTTAATTGGATGCTTATGGTCAAACACACTTTACACAACCATCTAAAATGACAATAAAAAAACAACTTCCACAATAGCTTGATAAAGTATTTATTCTTAAAATACAGAAAATTAAACATAATCATCTTTTGGTTTTAGACAGTAAGATAATACACTCACATCATAAAAACATAATAAAAGAATAATATGATATTAGTATGCAAAATAAAACCAGATTATTTTGCATAAAAATTCATGCCAGATTATTTTGCATAAAAAATAATATCAGTTGATTTTGCATAAAAAATGCAAAAAAAACATGATACTGTACTAATTTCATATAACTAAGTTTTCAAGACACAGTTAATCTGTAATTTTGAAATTATGATAGCAAGTAAAATTATGGTAACAAACTTTCTGAAATTTCTAAAAACTAGGCTATCTAAATTTAACTCTAATTAAATCAAGATAAGTTAATATTGATAATTACTAAAAACTCACTGAAAAGCAAAAAAATAAAAGAAAATAATAAATAAACAAAAGATAATAATAATTAATATCAACCGAACAAATTTGTAATAAACAGAAATCAAACTCCAATACTAACTCAGGTTACAACATTGACACTAAAGGCCTTTCTCATTATCATGATTGAATATTGATATAAAAAATGCAGCTGTTAAAAATAGTTTAATGTTAGAAAAAAAACTCTACACTAAACTTGGATTTCAGAATTTTTTTTTTTTTTCAATTTGCTTTGGATTTAGCCATGATACAAATATTGAAGTTTAAACATATAATTTCTTCAGAAAAATGGTGGTATTCACTTAAATAACATAAAAATTAAGTTTTGCAAAAAGCCTAAAACTACTTCATACAAATTCACCATCAATTTATATCTTTACCAATAATGCATTAGGCTTTGCAAGACACTCATATACTCTTAAAACCTTCTTAGATTTGGTATAGAGATGAATCCAGGCAACAGTTGGATTTTAACCCTTTGAAAATTACAGTATCAAATTATGGTAGTTAGGCGGTACACCACTACATATCAAATAACCAAAGATCTCTTTGAAGTTCTTGTCTAAGATTAGTAGCAATAGACCCCAAGTTCCCATGGTTAATGGTCACAATTCTAGAACTTTCTTGAGCTATTGTCTTTTGCAATCAATAATAATAACCATGGTATTGTATTGTACTGTATATAATATTGTGTGTGTAATCCTGTGTATAATACTGTGTATGTAATATTGTATATAATACTGTGTAATATACCCATGGTATACTGTATATGTACTGTACCATGGTATACTGTGAAAATTCTAGCATATTGCTCGCAACTCCAGTGCATTAACTCCAGCACATTGCTTGCATTAACTCTATATTACACAAAACTCTGTTCTTTTAAAACATATTTTAAGCAAATCTACCATGAATTAAGGAATGGATATCCTAGAGCTACAGTTAATAAGCCAAATTTTTGTGGGTTTTTTAAGAAAGTCTGGGATCAAGCCCTCAGAGCTGATAATACTATATCAGCTTTCAATTGTATGGTATTTATATATGTAATCTGTTTACTGTTCCTAGCATAGCTTATTTTTCAACTTTTTCATTATTCACTGCCTCTTGGTCACTAAAAAACATGCAGACCAAAAACTAATTGCTAGAAAGTATTGAAAACATGTCTAAAAAAACTCAGATGTTCACCTTATTACTGACAAAGATTTGGCAACTGTAACATTTAAAAAAAAGGAACATGATATTTTTAGAGACCAAGTAGCAACGATAATAGCATATGGTGAACACTAGGTGTGTTACCTTATCTCTTAAGAACAAATCTGTTGTGCAATTAAGAAATAAACTACATTTTATACTTTTACTTTTGTAAGAAAAATGGATTATGTTTAAAACTTTACAAAAATAAATAATAAAAATTTTTTATTAGAAAAAGGTATGAACAAGTATACAACAGCTAAATTCACATGAACAAGAATATAGTAGCTTATCATAACTTTGAACATTTCAGTTTTCTGAAAGATAAATAACTATTGACAATAATTCTTTAAATGCTTTTTATTTAATTTTTCGCCCATTTTATTTAATTTTTCGCCTTTAATCAACAAGCCAATGGAAAAAAATTTCTTTTCAATTTCTTTGTTAAGGGTAACAATACACAATTGAATGTCTTTCTTTTTCTCGCACCATTAATTTTCTGCTTTCATTTTCATCCAAATATCACACATATCAAGAATGAGCTAACTTTTTACTTTTTGTTAATTTGTTATAAAATTCTGAACATCCTGTCTAATCAAAAAAGTTTATTTATTGTGATACTGCTAATAGGAAAATATCCATTCATAGTTTATGAGCTATATATATATATATATATATATATATATATATATATATATATATATATATATATATATATATATATATATATATATATATATATATATATATATATATATATATATATATATATACAGTTATATAGTGCATTAAATACTTTTGTATATTAGCAGTTTTGTAATGAGATAAAAAAATTTATTGATTTGAAACTATAAATAAAGTAGTTGAATGTAAAAATGAACATAAAAAAGTAACTTAAATTAAATTTGATAAAAAGAATTTTAATTTCTTTAAAATAGTTTAGAATTTTAGAAAAAAAAAAAAATTGTAAAACAAAATGTTATAAATTTTTTTTTTTTAAATTTTTATTTTATAAACTGCTTTAATAATCTTTGAACAAATATGAAAAATTTGCAATAATTAAAAATTCCATCTCAATAGCTATTTTCAATAAACGAGGAGCATTGACCAAATTGATACAAATTTTGAGTGACTATTTTAAAAAGCTATTTATATAATTAAAAAGAAAAAAGTTTTTGAAATCTTTGTTAAGAAGTGTAACATTTATATAATATTAATTTAATAGGTTAATCATCATGTTCTAAGTTAGAACATGATGATTAACCTATTAAATTAAAAACTGTACCAGTTTTTTACGTTCAAAATGGTATGTTAGAACTTCTAACATACCATTTTGAACGTAAAAACCTGGTACAGTTTTTACACAATTGCCGCAATAGCTTTTTAGGTGTAACCAAAAAAATAGGTTAATGGCATTGTTGACAATTATACCTTGTTAATTGCCTATTTTGTGTGCATATCAGGCATCTTTTCTGCACTTATGTTTAACATTGCAAAAAATATTACCATTGGCCACTGGCGTACATTTCTTGAAATGTTTGTATAATGACATAACTGATCAGTTGTGCCAACTCCTCCTTTGGTTTTTTTATAAAATGTTATAACAGAAGACTTGAGTTTGTTTCAGCATCAAAATCTATTGAATCATCTTTGTGTAAACTAGATGCTAAAATAACATATTTTCCTTTTTTAGGAACATAAGATACTTACATCATACCTTTACTGAACCTGAAAATGAACAAAGACGCAATGTATCAATTTGATATTTTAATTAAAAAAATACATCCCCGTAGAATTAAATAATAAATAATATCAAATTATGTCTAAAAATTTAAAAATGTATTTACCAGATATAATTTTTAAAATTTTAATCAAATTTATAAAATGCAACATACAAGTGCGCAATGTATCAATTTGAACAAAATGATAAAATTCAATTCATATAAAGTGAATTATACATGTTTGATGATGTAGAACAATAAAAGAAGAAAAAAAATAAAGCTACTAAAAAGCAGAACATCAACTCTGTTTTAATACCAAGTAAAACTATAGTTCTTCCTATTTCCAATACTAAGTGAAACCTTTGTTATTTCGCCATCAATTCAGTTGTACAATGAATATTAAGGTAAAAAATAAAAAATAAAAAAGTTTTTAAAATCTTTTGTAACTATCTTAAGAAGTAATATAAAGTGAATGAGTAAAAAATAAAAAATTTTGTGGCCCACAAAGCGGTACCATCGCATGGTTGGTTGCGGTAATGAGTTTTTCCTCCACGTTTTCATAACTATAATTTACAATGCAATTAAATTATATAAGCTTCTAACTTTTACAGTAAAATTGCATTAAAAATATTTTAAATAATAAAATAAATTAAAATTTTTAAAACATAATAACATTATAATAATAACGCCAAAAAACTTGATTTGAAAAATAAGAGAAGAATAACAACAAAAAGTTATTAACTTTTGAATGAATTAAAATTTTGAATGAATTGACCATGTTATGCAATAAATACGGACCATGTTATGTAATAAATCTTTTTGTTTTATATAAAAGAAACATACAAATATTGTTTATTAAATTTTATAGTTATCTCTTTTTTATAAAATGTTATAGCTAAAGTTTTTTTCGCGAGTACCAGCAAAGAGTACTCATAGGAGAAGCAATATGGAAATAAATTTGTTTTGACTCTTTATATTAGTAAGCGAATAAAGCATGTAAATGAAAATTAGTCGCGAATCAATGTTGGCGTTAAAGTCATCATTTTGTAATAAACTTATCATTATTTTGGTTAATTATTTACATTTTTATTTGGAAAAACTTAAAATACTAGGACAATTTATATAATATAAAGCTTTTAAATTTGTGTTCAAAAAAAAAAAAAAGTCCTCTTGACGTAGACAGGATTTTTTAGACCGGTATGCCCCAAAATTTTCTGGATACATCACTGCTAGCATTTCTTTTTTCAGCCCATTTTTAAAATGTTTAAAAATCATCAAAACATCTAAACAGTTGAGGTCAAGTTGTCAAAAAAAAAAAAAAAAAAACATTTTCGTGGTCAGCAATGGCGCTTGATTGCATGTCATGCCTGTTCAAGCCTGCCTATATATTTATATATAATATATTATTTTAAATGCTTTAATAATAATGTTAAATTTTTTTTTTATAAAAGTATCAAGCACCATTGTACAATAACTTAATTTTTTTATTGAAGTATTAGATCTCATTGAAAAACATATACTTTTAAACACATCTTCTCACACCCTAAACATCAGTCAACATATTATTATTTTGTATGATATTATTGGCCATTTAAGAGATACTTAATTGCAATAAAATATTATGTAAAATTATATAAAATATACAGAATAAACATATTATATAAAATTATATAAAATATACACAATATACAACTAGAGCAAACCTGTATGGATTTTATCATCAACAGACAAATTCAACATATTTAAATTAGTTCTTTTGCCGTCATTTTCACTGAATGTATTATTAATAGGAGAAAGTTGTGGCGAGTCTTTGATATTGTATTTATTATAAGATTCATTTTTTTCATGAGTCAACGATTCATTATTTAAAGTTATTGCAGCACTTTGATCTATCTTATTCAAAAAAATTTCAGCTTTAGATGTAATCTCGCTCAACCAAGACATAGTTTTAATTTAAACCTAATATGTAAAAAGGAGTTGATACTACAGTTGAAAATAAAAAATAATAATTATTTATGATTGAATTGTAAAACTCTGTTCAAAAAATTATTAAGATTTAGGGCTTTCTCATAATATGAAATAAAATCGTAATTTTTTAAACAGAGTTCAAAATTAAATTTTAAGTTCTGTTCATAAAATTATAAATCTATTAGGGCTTTTTCATAATATTATGTCATAAAAGCAATATTTTATAACTATAAAGCTTATAAATAACCTTAAGAAAATCAAGAAGAGATCTACTTTCATATATTCTTAAAATATAAACATTTTAATTCCAAGTGTAACTAAACACAGGTTTTTAAAACAAAAATATGTTTACTAAGTCTGGATGTAATTTTACTTATTTTACTGCCTTTTCTTTGCCATTTGCTACAATAAGATTGTGCTATATAAGCAGACAATGTTTTTTAATGGTCAAATGATTTACTATCTAAGTGCTTTGGAGACTTCTGTTTGGATGGATGTTTTAATTCTTTTCCATACGCTTCTTTGTATTGATATTAAGATAAGTATCAAAGAATCCAAATTATCAATCTAAACTCTCAGAAAAGTACCTGAGGTAGAGATAAAACGTTTTTGCAGCTACATCTGTAACTATATAGAAAAGAAATGAAGATGATGAGATTTAATACTCTCCAGTCATTTGTCATCATATTTGGAGGAACTATAGCAACTACCAGCTGTACATTCTATTACTAACAAGAAAATAATTGAACTCAATTTTAATGCAATTTACATCGCTGGAGCATGTCTACAGCTTAATTTTTTTTGAGTTTTTTTTTAGCTTCTTTAGCTACTAAAGATTGAACAAATGCAGATATACTGTAGCTTTATGGACCTTCTCTTTGCATTATTTAAAATGTTTTTATTTTTTCAGACATTTATGTGCATTTTTTGTTAACATGCCAAAGGGTTCTACAAGATCAGCTTTAATGATGCTTTCTTTCATACAACAGCTGTCAAAAGTTTTTTCTCAAAACTAGAAGAATAAAAGTTTTTAGAGCATGCAGGGACAGACAGTAAACAAATGAGACTTTGATGAAGGACGAGTCAAGCAAGAATGAGTTTTAGTTGATAGAACAAGAGATGATAGCTCCTTTGAGCAGCAACCACAATAGTATTAGTAGAAAAGAAAAAAAGATGCAACTTTACACCAATGAGAAAGAGACTCAAGCTTAGCAGATAGAGTGCTAAGATATCCGGGGTATTGAGCGCGTGTATTAAAATGACTGAAAATAATTGAGCTTAGCATCAGACAGCACCTTTTTACGTTGGCTTCCTGCAATAGTTATTTGTTATCAAGAGAGTTGTTCTTTTGAAAAAGATTGAAAAAATGATTACAATTAGATATAGCAGCAGCACAAGAAGGTGAAAACCATGGGGTAGAATGAGGCTTGACTTAAAACTAACAAAAAGGAATAAATGCTTCTGGTATTTTGCAGCTGTTGATGGAACCAGCCTCTCTGAGAGCTACCACAGAGTTCAAAAAACTACTAGCTGGCCTCAAAACCATTAAACTAAATTATAGAGCTCTACCCTTATTAGGAGATAATAGGAAGAATTGGATAGCCACTATCAAGGAGAGACAAGCAAAAAACTTATGTGTAGAGTCAAAAAAGATCCAACATTCGTCATCCTCGGCAGGAAACAATGTAACACAGGTTTATTCTGCTTATCCCTTAAGTCTTTGCCTAAGAGGTCTTACAAGACAGAAGCTAGATGCAGTTAATATCTTCCCAAGATAAGTATTTTTATCAAGACACAATCTCTAGCCTTTAATCAATTAAGAGCCCCAAGACAGGGGATTTTTAAGTTAGAGTTTGTTTTTCCTATAAAAACAAAACCTAAAAAAAAAAAAATTTAAAGTGGTATAAATATAACTTAGCTCTCCTTTTAAACATCAATGGAGACTTCAAGAACCTATCAGAGTTAACAAAAGCTTTTATAATGAGGTTCTTACTATCTGCAGCAGTAGCAGTAGTGAGTATTTTTGCACACTAATAATAACATTAAGTGAATGGACAATACGCTTTACAAATAATTAACTAACACTGTTCCATGATAGCTTATTTAATATAAAGCAAAGTGCACTATTATATGCATCACATAGATGCTGGAATAAGTCTTTTTGCAAGAGGTACCATAACGACATCCATAAATTGGACTGCAAAAGGCATTAAATAACATGATCTTTATTTGTATATGTATTGTGACGAATTTGGACGAGTATGGATGAGGTTAGCTCTAGCATAGTTAGAACGTACTTGTTTAATCCATAATAATAACAACAATAATGATAATAATAAATAAAAACATTAAATTATTAAAAACTTGTGGTATTTCATATTATTAATTAGTAAAGTGATACTGAAACTAATTATAATAATATAATAATTACAATAATAATATTGTGGAACAAAAGAAGAAAATTGCTTAAAGTAGGATATTTGAAAACCACAATAAGTATTAAGATAAATAAGTCATACTTGTAAAATTTACTAATATAAAATTATAAGTAAAAGTAAAAAACCAGAAAACGTATAAAAAATACCAAACATAAAAACATTATCATGAATATAAGATAAAGCATAAGTAAGAATAATAATTTATTACATTATTATTAATTTTGTTAAATATCTGATTGAAAACATTAACTTTTTTATATTATTAAATAATACAAATCTATTTTATATTTAAATCAATAACTTCAGATAATACTTATATAAAAAAATTATATTGACACTTTATTTTTATTATTTTTTCAATGTGTTGTGTTTAGCAGGTAAAAAAATTGGTGACAGGAAGTTGAAATAATATCTGTCACTGCAGTGACAATAAAATCAGTTATAATTAATTGTAATGTAAAAATAAAATTTAAACTTTCAATTAGCTTTTTATCAACTTACAACTTGAAATTAGCGACCAAAAATGGAATATTAGATAATTTAATGAACCATAGCAACCCCTAAAATTTAGGCTGAATATGTTTAAAATAGCCACTTTTTGGTGAGGAGTACCTTAATTGAAAGAAAAATACAAGTAAATTTGAGGATAAAAATTTCACTAGTTTTTTTCCTTTCAAAGATGAATCAATGTTATACTTATACATAATACGTATAAATATTAGGGTAACTATGATCATATATTATATTTTCCTGTAATAACTGTAGTTTTCCTGGAACTAAGGAACATGTTATGAATTTTTTTATGAACTAAGGAACATGTTATGAATTTAAAATATTAACATGTCATGAATTTTTGTAGGAAGCATTGCTACAATGATTGTAAACAATATTGTTATAAAATAGTTGTAATTTATAGCTACATAAAAAAAAATTGCTAAAGTCTCGTTCAAATTCCTGTTTTCTCTATTTATAATTGAGTTCTTATTTTCAGCTAAATCTTTAAATAGTAATATTAACAAATTCTTCTCGTATCTATATGGCAAAAATTACGTCATTTTTATTATTGTAATTTAATAAACCGTCGACCGACGGTTGTTGACAAACATATCGTCGTTTTTTACGGAATACTGATTGGTCGAAATCAGGGCAGTCTTTTAATTCCAGCTTTGTCCTTTACATCCGCAAACATGTAAAAAAAACTTTTTTAACATTGCCTCCACCACTTATCTCAAAATATAATTATATAGTTATATTTTGAGATCAGCGGCATTCACATCACCAGCGTGATAAGCGTGGTCTACATACGCATGGCCTACTTATGCATCGCCTGCATGGCCTCCTATGTAATGCATATGTATCATATATAACATTTTATTACATATTCAAATTTAGCAAATAAAATATTTATATATTATTTTATTTGCTCCATCATACCTACTATTGATTGCATAGATTGAGTTTTACGGTGTTGTTTTAATTTATATTAACGACTTTTGTAATACAACATTAAAACTAAACTCAATAATGAATGTAGATGGTACAAATTAATTTCTTATCAATAATGATATCAAACATCTATATACGGATATACGGATATGAATAGGGAATTAAATAAAGTAAGTAAAAAAAAAAAACAAACACAAGAATTAAACATTCCTCTTAAGTTACGTGAACTTTGTTTAAATTATGATATTATCAAAAAACAAGCAGTTATAAAATTCTTAGGAACTTTTGTAGATGAAAATTTATACTGGCTGCCCCATATGTATTATATACAGTTAAAAATTACCAAAACTATTAGCGTAATGTGTCGAGTTCAACCACAGGTCAATATGTTAAGTCTCCAAATAATATACTTTGGGCTGATCCACTGTTGCATTAACTATACAAATATATCATGGGGAAGTACGCAATCAACTTCAAAAAACTCATAGGCTACAAATACACGCTTGTCGTATCATATATTTTAAACAATAAGCGAGAGCATGCAAAACCTCTTCTGAAAGCTATGAAAATGTTGAGTATATTTAAAATAAATATCTATCAATATCTAATTTTTATGTATAGATACAACAAAAACTTTTTGTCAGCAAACTTAAGTTAACAACAATAAGTTTGAAAGTAATCTAAATGAAAAGTATAATCTAAGATTGGAAAAGTAATTAATTCTTAGAATTTTGTATATTTTATCAACGACCTCAATTATAGAATGACTGTCGAAAGAAATATAAATTAATGGCGAATTCTTTAAATTCATTCAAGTTTCAAACAAAAAAACAAATTTTTAAAACTTAATCGTAAGTAAAACAGTTTTTTTTTTTTTATTAATTTATTTTTGTTTCAACAATTTTAACGGTGACTTATTTTTTACACGAGCCTTTTACCATTATGATATATTATTTGAACTTGTTCAAAAAGGTTCTATGAAAAGGTTGTGATAACGTAATGTTATCCTTATCTTCTTTGAGCTCCTATCTGTTTTAACTTAATTTTGTTGTAAGTCCAATATATACTTTTATATTTTATTTTATGTTGTATGTATATATAGGAACATATAACAATA